AGAAGCCAAGCCGGGAAATCACCAGGGAGGAAACCAAGAAGTCAGGCTCCCCATGCAGCGAGTCTGAGAACCCGCATTCTCTTGTGTCTGTACACACGTGGCCTGGGAATGTGTGGGAGGCCGAGCGGCCGTGCTCGAGTGCAAGTCGGGGCTCGAGAATGATGCTGAGTGAGCTGCATTGTGACGAGGCTGACTTGCAATCAACTGACACCTGCAAGTTCAGGACATCTGAAATAATAGCAACCTGAGGCAAAGTCAGTCACCGATTTGAAATGCACCTATTGAAAGCTAGGCTGCTAATGTTTAGTTACCTAATAAGCATGGATTTAGGTTGGGAATGACAGGTTCACACAGCTGGCTGGAATCACTGGATCGCCACCTGTGAGATATTAGCCAGCATCCTGGGGGTATCGGGAAGTTATGAGTGCTTTGGGGCAGGATGGTATGCGTGCATGTGTTAGCCTGCTTCCTGAGGCTATCCCCACCTTAGAGATGGGCGGGCTTGAGTATAATTGCCAGATGGATGCTTTGAATCTCATCCAAAGCACTTACTGGAACTGGGAATGCCTTTTATCCCCTCCTACCACTGAGGCTACAGTGAGTGCAGTGCACCTCCTAGTGGCCAGGAGCTTGTGGGGACCGGGTCCCCTTCTGCTGCTGCTGCTCCTGGGAAAAATGCAACAGGTGCTGTTCTCGGGTGGCTTCTGCTGGGCTCCATTGCAGTTCTCCAAACGACAGCAGAGGCTGTCCTCAGTGCTACCAGCCCTTGAATGCCAGCCCTGTCTAAGCTCCCTGATAGCCACCTTTGTGCAAATTTTTAAAGAATGATATCCCGCTGTGATCAAAGAGGACCCCTCTAAGGGAACCATTAAAAAAAAAATGCTCTGCCCTCCCAGGCAAGGTGCTTGGCACGAGGGGCCAGGGCAGGACGCGTGTGCATGCTTGTCCTCTTAGCCCGGTTGGTGCCCTGAGAACATACGTAGGGGTTTTGTGTTTGAGACAGCACACTAGTTTTGGGGGTCTTTTTTCTCCAAAAATCCGTTTAGTATATTGTCTTCAGGTAAAGGACGTGTCAGATATTAAACTGGTAAGAACAGATACTATGCTTGATCTTAGCATAAGGGCCGAAACGTGATTCACTAGTTTTTTTTGGGGGGGGAAGGTTTTATTATGAAATATTTCAAACCTATATAAAATAGATTGAATAAGAAGAAAAGGAAAAAGCACTTAATATTGAAATCACTCAACTTTAATGATTATCAGTTCATGGCTAATTTTATTTATATAGACCTTAACTTTCTCCCCTACCTAAAACTCTCTAAAAAAAAAAAAAATCCTAAAGGGATTACATTTACTCTATAACATTTCATCTGTAAATATTTCAGTATGTATATTTAAATAAGAACTATAAAATGTAAGCAACACCATTACCATAAACAGTTACAAATACACCTGACACCTATATAGTTTTATTAACCACTGTCACCCCAATAAATTCAGTTTAATGAAACAGTTACAAATAGTTAATAGTAATTCCTAATATCAACAAATATCCAAGTCGGTGTTCATATCTTCTTGTTTGTCAGATAATTTATTTTTTTACAATTTGTTTGTTTTAAGCAAGACCCAAATAAGGTCTATATGTTGTGATTAGTTGTTATGTCTCTTAATCGTCTTTTCATTTCTTTTATTTTTTCTGCCATTAAAATTTTTGTTAAAGAAACACCGTCATTTGTTCTGTACTTTCCCACAGTCGGGATTTACTCCTCTCAGAACCGTTGTCCCCCTTGACTCGAGATTGTGCTGTCCATGGTTTCAGTTAGCAGGGGTCAACCCTGGTCCAAAAATATTAAATGAAAAGCGCCGGAAGTGAACAATTCATAAGTTTTAAACTGCGAGCCATTCTGACTCGTCCGAGGGAGTCTCGCAGTGCGGGGCTCCCTCCTCCCTGGGGCCCAATCTCCCCTGCTCCCAGGATCACACGGGGCTCTCCCCGCCCCTCCTGGCTCAGCATGTCCGTCTTAGATGACAGTCCTACGGTCACCTCACCCTTCGTTTACTTAATGCCGCATTCACATAACTTCTACTACAGTATATTAGCAGCTCTTCTATTATTAGTTATTGTTAGTTTCTCACCCTGCCTAATTGAGAAATTAAACTTTGTCATAGGTATGTATTACAGGAAAAACAGCATACATAGGGTTTGGTACCATCCACAATTTCAGGGACCCGCTGGGGGTCTTGGCACACATACCCTGTGGCTAAGGCAGGGCTACTGTATGTACCTAATATTGTCCCAGATGTACAGTCTTTCCCAGCTGTAGGCTTGTCTCTTCATGGTGAGATGCCTTCATGCGCCGTAGGGAAGACTTCTATGGGGAGAGGCTGGCATGGCCAGGGTGAGCCCCTTCTAACTAACTCCTGTGCCCTTGACACGTCCCTGTCGTTACTGAGCACTGTAACTTTCCAGCACAGCAGACGCTCCAGGCTCGCCGTGTCGTCTCCCTGTCCCAGTGGTGGGACCGGCCATTTCTCCAATGAGCTCTGGTACCTGTTAGTGGAGGGTGGTGTTTAGAAATCAAGATCTAGGCACCAGGTGCTTCATTATTATTGAAGGGTTGCTGCTCCCAGGCCTTCTCAGTGGGTAGAGGCAGAAATGTGTGTATGTATATACATGCACAGATGTACGAACATCTATATCTGTCTATATACTTACCTGCATATATATTTTAAAAACACAAGTCCAGCCCTGGCCGGTTTGGCTCAGCGGTTAGAGCGTCCGCCTGCGGTCCTGAGAGGCCCGGGTTCGGTTCCCGCTAAGGGCACGTACCTCGGTTGCAGTTTGTCCCCGGCCCTGGTTGGTCGTGCGGGTGGCAGCCACTCGATGTGTCCCTCTCACATCGATGTTTCCCTCTCTCTCTCTTCCTCTCTCTCCCTCCCACTCTGTCTGTACAAAAAATGGAAAAATGTCCTCGGATGAGGATTAAAAAATAAATAATAAATAAAAACACAAGTCCATTCTGGTAGCTCTGATTCCAATCCAACACAACAAGATTTATTCTTCCCTGTTCTCGTTCACAAGTCCCTTTAACAGTGAAAAGCCGAAATCCCATTATCCTCGATGTATGTACGTATGTGCTCGATCTTCGTCTATCCCACTTAACACACAGTCCTTGTGCGGGCGCTCTCCTACCTCAGAGAAGCCACTGCCCACATCGGCATAATCTCCTTATGTGGGTCTGGCAGCGCCCAGGGTTACCACACACAGCTTCTTATCTAGGCCCCTCATGTCAGACTTTTTTTTACTGAACTAAGATGGAAGAGAGGGAGCAAAAGAGGGGGGGGGAGAGAGAGAGAGAGAGACCAGGAAGGAGAAGGGAAGAAGAAAGAAAGAAAGAAAGAAAGAAAGAAAGAAAGAAAGAAAGAAAGAAAGAAAGAAAGAAAGAAAGAAAGAAAGAAAAGATTTATGTTCATTTTTTAAAAGATGGATTCCATAGAATTAATCAAATTCTCCAGAGTCCATACTCAAAAACGCCAAGAGCTACTACTTATATAGCTTGTAGGAACATAGTTAAGTGTTTTGGCATTCTCAGATGAGAAAAGTGTTTGAAAATAACAGACACCATTGTTCTCCGATGTTCTTTAATGTTTGGAGCGTGGTTAGAAGAGGGTGAAATACCCAAGTAATACGTCATGATTCACTAGGCTATGGAAAGAAAAGAATAGAGCCTCTATGTATCTTTACTTTATGAAATTTTAAAGAACTCAAGCTTTACAAATATTTACTGAAACAGCAAGGTCTGTATGTTAGTCACCTGACACAGATGTTAAGGAAGATGTCCTGAGGCAAGATTAGAAACTCACCATTTCGGAGGTCTGCCTGCCATCCTTTTGGTAACTAAGTGCTATTTGCATATACTCAGTTGTGGGGACTAACAGATGATATTATTTATTTATTTTTATTTATTTTTTCTTTATTGAATCTAGAGAGAGAAGAAGGGAGAAAGAGAGAGAGAAACATTGATGAGAGAGAACATCTATTGGCCACCTCCTCCATGCCCCCCCACTGGGGATTTGGCCCACAACCTGGGCATGTGCCCTGAACAGGAATTGAACTGGCGACCTCCTGGTCAATGGGTTGATGCTCAACCACTGACCCACACCAGCCTGGACAGATGATATTATTTAATTTTAACAAACAAACCATGATGAAATGGAAAAATGACTTTAAAAGATTCCTGAACCCCTGGCAGGTTTGGCTCAGCAGTTGACACATCAGCCCCTGGACCAAAGAGCTGCAGGTTTGATTCCAGTAAAGGGCATGCACCTTGGTTGCGGTTTGGTCCCTGGCCCTGGTTGGGGTCGTTCAAGAGGCAGCCAGTTGATGTGTCTCTCACATCAATGTTACGCTCTCTCTTTCTCTCTCTCTCCCCTTCCCTCCCACACTCCCAATCTATCTGGAGATAAATGGAAAAATAATATCCTTAGGTGAGGATTAAAAAAAATTTCTGCACAGAAACTTAAAATTAAAGGTAAAACTATTAAGGTCAGCACATATTTATGTTAAGGAAATGGTGGCCCTAGCACGACAGCAGCCACTACAACCTCCTCAACAGCCACACAAGAATCAAACAGTGAAGGCTCAAAGTCAGCCCAAAGAATTAGAGACTGTCAAGAGGTGCTTTGAAGTATAAACTTCTATCCACTGTCCTCATAATGACCCCTCTCCCTGTGTGGTTACTTAAGATGCTATGTGCACCAGTGTTCATAACAGCATCACTCCCTATAGCTAAAGCATGGAAGCAACCCAAGTGCCCATCAACAAATGAATGGAAAAGCCAAATGCGGAATACACATACAATGGGATGTTATCCAGATAAGTCTGACATGTGCGATAACATGAATGAACCTTGAGGACATTACGCTAAGTGAAATAAGACAGTCACAGAAAGGCAAATTATTGTATGAGATCTCTCTCTCTCTCTCTCTTTTTTTTTTTTTTATGCTGGATTTTTAATAGAAAGACAGTTTGGACCTGGACTGCCCTTGCCCAAGCTAACATTTTGTTCTTTTTGTTGACATTGCCGCTCTTGTTCTAATGTCATCCTTTCCTCGTGAATCTTTGTCAACAATTCTCAACGGCTCTTCAGCCAGTTTGGCTTGTGCTGCTGCGCTTTTTCGGTTATTCTGCTCCAGTACTTGCTCTAGCTCCTCACGTTTTGCACATTCTTCCTCCTCTCTGGCTTTTTGTGCTGCAAGTCCAGCTTGTCTCAGTTGCTCCGGTTCTTTGAGCAGCTGCTTTTCCATGATACACTTGGCTTCTTCCACCTTTTCGAGAACTTCCAGCTCAATCTCATCCTTCCTTTTCTCCGATTCTTCCTCTACCCTTTTCGCTGCTGGTCCTTCCACTGTTTGTGTTGTTTCTTCATCAATGTGTTTTTCTTCTATTTCCTCCTGCCGCAGTTTTGGGGTCCAGAAGTCCAGACTCAAGATGCAGCAAGGTTGGTTCTTTAGGAGCTCGGAGAGAGGATCTGTTCCACACCTCTCTCAGCTTCTGGTGGTTGCTGGCAATCCTTGGCATTCCTGGGGGGTTCATGGCTTCCGCTCCAGTCTCTGTCTTCACATGTGAATGACTCCTCTTATATGAGGTGCTTGGAGTAGTCAGTCATAGACCGAAAGTAGAATGGTGGTTGCTGGGGGCTGAGGAGAGGCAGGGAATGAGTAGTTACTGTTTAGCGGGTACAAAGTTTCAGTTTTATGAGATGAGGAAGCTATGGAAGTGGATGGTGCTCATGTCTGCACAGCATTATGAATATATTTCCTACCACTGATCTGTAAACTTAAAAATAGTTAAGATGGTCAATTTTATATGTGCATTTTACCACAATGAAAAAATGGGGGGAAAATAGATTAGCCAGTGATAGTATGAAGCCATCATGAGTAGGAAGACAAAAACTGATTCTCCAAATGTGCATTTAGAAATCTGCAGTGTTCCAGTTTCATTACATTTATTAGTCAAACCAATGCCACAGACAGTTTCTCTGAACTCAACAACAAATGTTTGGAAGATTATTTTCTTTACTATTAATAAAAGATTTTAAAAAAATGTCAGTGGGAAACTCTTGCTGTTGAAAGTGGAATAGAAATCAGCATTGCAAAGGCATCAATTACGTTCTGGAGATGCTGTTGGAAGACAGAAATCATTGCTGATAATATGAAGATACAAATATAAGAAAATATGTAGAATGGGAGGTTTGCTATCCAGTCAAATCAGGGGATGGGCAAATTATGGCCCCTTTGGCAAACTGGCCCTTTGCTTAGTTCTGTAAATACAGCATCACTAGACTACAGCTCCCACTCATTTGTTTATGTATTGTCCATGGCTACTTTCATGCTACAATGGCAGAGTTGAGTTGTTGTGACAAAGACTATAAATGGCCCTCAAGGTACAAAATATTTACTATCTGGCCCTTTACAGAAAATGCTTCCTGATATCTGAGTTAGGTGAAAAAGTAAGGTGGTTCTAATATATCAAAGTATATTGTATTTTCTAGAATGTTTCAACACAAAAGCCTTCATTTTTACTTAATAATAAATAATATTTTAAAGATAACAAACACCAATGTTTATAGAAAGTTTGTATACATGTAACCACTAAATCAAGTGGCTGCTTTGACCAGAATAAATAAAGGAATCTGGATTTATAAGCATAGCACTATATATGAAATTTACTCTCCACAGGACTCATAGTCAAGCCATTACTCTAAAAATAGGTGCAGCCAGAAATTTCCAGAGAGCCACAAGATGTCATCAATGAGGTTAATTTTATACAAACACAACTGTTTAAAAACCTTTTGTACCTCACAGAAATTTTCTCATTACCTGTGTCAACATACTTAAATCTGTAACTTAATGTCTATCATCAGTTATGAAAAATTTTCAGTCGTTATCTCTTCAAATGTTTCTTTTGCCCCAATTTTCTCTCTTTTCTAATTATAGATTTTGAATATACTTATTACATATTGTATATCTTCTTTCTTTCCTGTCTGTTTTTTTATTTCTTCATGCTTCAGTCTCTACCAACATTCTCAGACTTGTCTTTTAATTACTTGAACATATTAATCATATATATTTTAAGGAACATATTAATCATATATATTTTAAGGTAATAACTTCATTATTTGGATCCCTTGTGTATTTATATCTGTTTTGTGTGTATTTAAAAATTTTTTTCACTTATGCTTTGTTTTCTTGTATGTATGGTTATTATTATTTGTCTTAAGATCTTGTCATTGAGGAATATTCTAAAGCTCGGAATTGTTCTCGTCCACCGAGAAGATTTACTTTTGTTTAGACCAGCAATTGCAGAGCATCTTAATTCAAACAGGGGTTGACATCCTTTGGAGTTAGGCTTCAGTGCTTGAGAGAGGTTTATTTCTAGTTTACTCTACTTCTAGGTTTAGCCCCTGAAATATGTCCCAGGGCACCTCCTCTGACTTTTGTTTCCCCTAGTCTTATGAATCTGTTGAAAGTTTTGTTTTAGCCTTTCAACCACCACTCTTTAGATGGTTAACTGCCTGAAAGGAAAAAGCAGTTCTAAATGCTCACTGGCCTCTCTGGCTCACCTCTCTCATGGGTCTTCATCCATGATTCCTTATCACCCCCAAACAGCTTTTATTATTATGTTCTGTTTGTTTGTTTAATTTTTCTTGTTGTTTTAAATGAGAAGGCACTTTTGAAACAACCTAAGCTGGAAGCAGGATTCCACTGGAAGGAAAGGATGACGTATGAGGCAGATGTTTCTGAAAGATGAAGTGGACCAAATTTGCTGATATTCTCGCTGATGCCGGGTAGTTATTGTTGAATCAACGAACATTCTCGACCTAGTCCTTCAAGGTAATGGTGATGTTTAAAGTAAGCAAGGAACCACTTTTCCAAATAAAGTTGTGCTGTGGAGAATTTTAAAGAAAGTTTTGAAAAACATTTTCATTGTCTCAAGATTTGTTGTGGAAAAATGATAGATGCCAGGTTGGCACTTGTCAAATCTCTCATCTGCACAGCAGTTAAAAACTAGAAACCATGGTTTCCTAACCTATTTAAATATCTTTAGCTAAAAAATTTCAGTGAATCTTGAAGTCATTTGTTGAAAAAAAAAAAAGCAACATCTTCCAATTGTTTGCTCAACAGCATTAGAAATAGAAAATTACTAACCAGATTCTTTCTCTCCCCACCCAAACTCTTTTGTATAATTGGTAGATGAGGCTTTTTTGTGTGTGTTTGTTTGTTTGTTTTATCCTCACCCAAGGACATTTTTTGATATTTTATTCAGATAGAGTGGGAGGGAAAGAGAGAGAGAGAAACATTGACATGAAAGGGACACATCGAGTGGCTGCCACCCACACAACCCAACCAGAGCCAGGGACAAACTGCAACCGAGGTACGCGCCCTTAGCGGGAACTGAACCCGGGTCTCTCTGGACCGCAGGCCGACGCTCTAACCGCTGAGCCAAACCGGCCAGAGCAGTAGATGAGATATAAATTGTAAGCACCAGTTTATTTTATTTTATATTTTTTGAGTTTTAAAATAATTTTCTTTTTAAAATTTTTAATTATTTTAAATTAATTTATTTTTGTTACAGATGTTTCTCCTTTTTCTCCCATTGACACCCTCCTCCCCATCCCTCCCAGCCCCCCCACCCCCACCCATCCCCAGCATTATTGTCTATGTCCATGGTTACACATACATAGCACCACACTGTAAAAAACATAGCCAATGATGCACTTCCTTCATTTGGATTTAGATATTTTTGTGAGTTTTTTTTTTTCTAAGTGTAGCTTTCATTAAAATCAAATATAAAAGCTAAATTAAAGATCAGATATCTGAAGCCTAGTCAGTAACATAGCTCACATTAGTAATTTCTTAATGAAGTAAAAAATGACTTTGTACTGTTTCAATAAATCTTACTTTAAAACAGTATTTCATCCTTTTTTTCTTTTTTAGAATACAGACACTATATAGATATCTATGTGTATAAACACATATATATTAGGGGTAATGCTAAAAAAATATCTGCTTATTGATATGTAATAAAAAATGTGGATGCCTCTACTCTAGGGAAATATATCAGAGGCAGTGCCTATACTAAAAGAAATTTCAGTGTTTATATTTCAAAGACAAAACAAACTGTTAAAAAAGAAAAACAAACAGCTGGGTTAGCACTCCCTTGAATAGCAGAGCCAGGAGGAAGTTGGAGTTTCTGCTTCAAATTACTTCTCTTTGTTTTTAGACAGCACCATGGTTTCCACAAAGCTCTCCTGAGGCTGGAGATGTTTGCAGCCATGGTTGTAGGAGCGTGAGTTTGGAGTACTGGCAGAACTGTGTGAACTCGGGGAAGTTATAGAAAATCTGCACACCTCCGTTTGCTCATCGCTAGGAGGGGCCAATAATAGTATTTCATTTACTTCTTTTAAAAAAAATTTTTTTTCTTTATTGATTTTAGAGCTAGAGGAAGTGAAAGGGAGAGAGAGAGATAGAAACATCAATTGGCCGCCTCCTGCATGCCCCGCACTGGGGATCGGGCCCACAACCTGGACATGTGTCCTGGCCGGGAATCGAACTGGTGACCTCTTCATGCATGGGTCAATGCTCAACCACTGAGCCACACAGGCCGGACTTCATTTACTTCCTATTACCACTTGACTTCTGAGCAGCCCTCCTGTTTACAGTTGTCTCCCTGCCCATTCTGGTTAATTAATCTATTAAATAAGATGAATTAGAAACATCAACTTTCTTCTGAAGTATCCAAAACGAAAAGACTGACTTTAAAACAATTCTGCCCAGGACTATGTATGAAAATGTCTTCTATTAAAAAGAGTTTCTGAGAAATACCTGTTCTTCCCCCTCTGTCTCCCCTTTCCAACTTGATTTTGAGGTCATGTTGACTCACCGTGGGGTGTGCTGTTTTCAATGGTGTCTGTGTCAAAGAACGGAGTGCTCTAAAGATGCCGTGTCCCATCAATGGAGACGTGAGGAACAGATGATAGGGACCCTCTGGTTCAAGGATGCTGTTTTTCTTTCTTTTGAGTCCACGTTTGTGAGCACAATCCAGTAGTATGGAGACTTACTCCAGAGTTTATATATTTTTTATTTATGTGTAACTTAGCCCAGAGAAAAGAGAACAGGATTTAGAGTCTAGAAACTTCAGTTCTTCTAGACCAGAGGTTCGCAAACTACAGCTTGTGAGCCAAACAAATCCAGCCCACTCACTACCCATAAAACACATACATACACACATACATAAAGTAGTAAATAATGTAGTAAGTAAATCGAGTTTTATTGGAGCACAGACATGCTCAATTCTTTACATATTGTCTATTACATATTCTTTTTGTTTTTTTCTTATTGAGAAATAATTGACATATATCACTTTAAGTTCAATGTATAGAGCATGATGGTTTGATTTGCATATACTGTGAAATGATTACTACAATGTTAGTTAACATCCAGCATTTCATATAGTAGATACAGTCAAAATAAAAGAAAAACATTTCTCCTTGTGATGAAAACACTTAGGATTAACTCTCTTAACAACTTTCCTATATATCTAAGGAATATATTACAGGCAGTGCACCTAGTTCATTAAAACCAAATTATTGTGACCAGTTGTTTCTATGTCAGTGACCCCCCCCCTTTTTTTAAGGAGAAAAACTTCTAAAATAGTTTCATATGTATTGTGTTTTTAAAGTTAGAGTCGATGCATGCTCATTGAATCTTTTAGTGCTTGGGTTTGTCTGCTTGGGTTTTTGAATTGGTCACGTGGGAGAGGAATTCCTTGAAATCTTTTATTTATTTTATGCTTTATATAAAGCACACCATGTTCCCAGGCTCAAATGTTATAAAAGAAACCCTCTCTTCCAAAATAACATATTGTCCAAAGTGGTTGCTCTAACTCGCCTCTGGTCGACGGCGGCTGACTCATTGTGTGCTGGCAAGACTTCCACCTTCCACAAACAGTGTGAATTCTGTACACATTAGGACCGGTTTCCTGTTTGGTCATGCCATGCTAAGAATCAAATGGAGGTTGTGGTTTCTGGATACGGTCTTCAAGAAGGACCTCGCGGTGGGAGAGCTTAGGTGCTATTCTAGTTGTATGACAGAGAAAGGCTCAGGAATCCTCTCATCCATCATCCCTGAACCTCTCCCGTGGCAAAGATCCTAATTCTCTTATTTCCACTAAAACCTTTCCCCTGATCAACTTCCAAGTTTGTCTTGTTTGTACCTTGATTTCCAGACATATAATCAAGAGGGGAGTGTAACAATTCGCATGCTTGTCCCCCAGGATTTAATCTGGGATCCAAATGTTTCTCCCACGTTTTCTTTGGGCTGCTTCCTCTCCCACAGGTCAGCCTCTGGGGCCCCTTCTGTGTTCTCACTCACCTGCTTCCCTAACTCCTAGCACCTTCCACCTCTATCTTTGAAAAAAAAGCTTGTTAAGTTTGTTCTCTACCCCGCCCTTAATTTCTGATACTGGGAAAGGGGGCTCTTCTTTTGCCATTGTGACCTGAGGCTCTGTCTCTCCGTGGCATCTCTCCCCATTTCCGCAGGGCTGTCTAAACTCTTCCCTCCTTGAGAACGTTATGCATGAAGGTCAAAAGTCCAAGGCAAAGGGAATCAAGGGGTTGATTATCATTCTTTGCCATAACTCTAGAGTGTCAGTATATTTTAAAGGATAACGCACAAAATAAAAGCAAAACCTACCCCTAAACTTGTTGATCTGGGGGAATTTTTTCAGGGCTTTTCCTCCACTGCTGTTTCAGAGGGTTATGTTGGAGGGGTAAGGTAGGAGTAGTAAGTCAGCATCTGAATTTTTCTCTTTCTTTGGTCACCACTTTTTTAAAGAGTACAGCATGGGTTTGTACTCTTATATTTCTTATTTGATGTTAATTATGTTGAGATGATTGTTCTTGGGTTTTGAGGGATAAAAATTAACATCTGGCTTCACACTGCCATCCTATTCTGGAAGGCTTTATGGTCTCTCGGGCTTTGGTGTTGGGGGCGCGGGGCGGGGAGTGAACTGTTCAGCTGATCACTTCCCAGAGGCAGTTCCTCAATAAGGCCTTACCAGCTCAGCATCAATATCAAGGCTAAAAAATGTGATGGTAGCGATGTAGATGCATTGAAAACCTGGAACACGTTAGTACCCTTATCCCGTCAACACTGATTGCCAAGGTGGAACTTCCCACGGCAAATGCTGATGAGTTACAAAATAAGCTCAACTCTAGCCTTTCTTTACCTACTTGGATTCAACTTATCCCCCCCCCCCCAATTGTGGTAAAATAGACATAACATAAAATCAACCATCCTAGCCAATTTAAAGTGTACAGTTTAGTGGCACTCATGACTTCACATTGCTATGCAACTGTCACCACCTTTAGTCTCCAGGACGCTCTCCGTCTTTCAGAACTAGAACTCTGTACCCAGTAAGCAATAACTCCCCGTTCTCCTTCTCCCAGCCCCCAACAACTACCATTCTAATTTCTGTCTCTCTGAATTTTCCTATTCTTGGTTCCTCATATAAGGGAAATCAGACAGCATTGTTCTTATTGTGGTTGACTTATTTCATTTAGCATCATGTCCTCAAGATCCATCCATGTTGCAGCATGTGTTGGAGTTTCTCTCCTTTTAAAGCTAAATAGTATTTCACTGTGTGAGAGAGAGAGAGAGTGTGTGTGCATGCGTGTGTATCACATTCTGTTTGTCCATTTATCTGTCAATGGACACTTGGGGTTGTTTCTACCATTTTTGTGAGTAATGCTGCTGAGAACATTGGTGTAAAATATCTCTTCAAGACTCTGTTTTCTATATATATACCCAAAATGGAATTGCTGGATCATATGGTCATTTTATTTTTAATTTCTTAAGGAATCCCCATACTGTTTTCTACCGATTTATTCCTTTTAATTTAAAATAGAATCTCAAGTTATGGAACAATTCACCTGGATTTGGGTTTGCTTTCGAAGGACTGCTGGTAATTTCCCGGTAGCCCGAGCTGGGAAAGCGATGATAGCAATTAAAGCGATACAGCAATACAACCAAACTAGCAAAGCAAAATGGAGCATATGAAATAAACAGCGAACGAGGGACTTGGATATAATGACTCTTTTCCTACTTGGAGCCGTGGTCTGGATAATGCTGACCGTGGCCCTTCTATTTCAGGTGTCCCTGCAGAGGCGGGGCCGGTCCCCCCAGGGAATCAGCTCCATGGCAGACGGAAACGGTGCGGGGTCGATTCATCACGGCCGGGTGTCCGGTGGATTTCACTGGAATGACTCAGTAAGCTGGGCGTCCAGAATGCTACCCTGAGAAACACGGGCAGAGCTCCCTTTGAATGAAAAACAAGGTCTGGAACGCATCTTGTGTCCCCTGCCAGCCGGAGGGCTGACTGCGGGGGAGGCGAAGTCTGCACCGCACGGTGGGCTTTCCTCCCCCAGCGGCGGGGCCATCCCGGGACCTGAGGGAACCTGTTTGTCCAGACGTCAAGCCTGTCCCTTCTCATAGGCTCGGTGAGGCCTGAGGTTGCCTGTTTTCAGGTTCTAGGCTTAGTTCTTATTGACAAAATATAACTTCCAGCTCCAGAAATTGGGGATAAGGGTGGGAAAGAATGTGCTTTTAGAGGCTTATGCTGAAAAAAAAGAAAGAAAGAAAGAGCAAGCACATCAGGCTGCTCACATAGCAATGGCTCTTATAAAACTGCCTTTTGGTGGGTTAAGTGTAAGGGATCCCAAGACATGTGGGTTACATTTTCCGAGAGGCGCACATGGATTTAGAAATCAGAGGAAGGAGATCTTGGCAGTGTGAGTGTGAGGTCTTCCCAGACGCCGATGCCTGGTGGCATGATCACACTTGGTTTTCTGTGATGGTGACTCACAGGAGGGTTGACTGAGTAGCTGTCTGAGAAATGAGGCATTGCCCATGGCCAAATTGAGCAATTCTGACTGAGAACTCGACTCCAGCTCTCCTCACTCAGGTTGGATCTCTGTGTCACCAGCTTCACCAGTGACTCGGCCATTCTCATCCTCTTCATCACTTGGCACATCTGCATGATAAGCACCCACAGCTCTGCCACCCCACACCAATACAGTCCATAAATGGAAGCACGCCCACCCAGCTCCTGCTTCATGCGGGTGAAATGTAGGAGGCACATGGAGTGGAGGAGGCGCGCAGGCACTGGTGTGAAACATGGGTTCAGATCTCAGGGCCACCCCTTCCCCGTTCTTCCCTCAACTCTGCAGCCTTGTTTTCCTCAGTCTGTGAGGATAAAGAGAGGCGACCTGTGCGAAGTGCCTAGAGGAGTGCTGGGTAAGCGGGAGGAGCCTAGTAAATGGCAGTGGTGGTGCTAGGCAGCCCCTTGTTTCGTTTTCCCTGTTCGCCGCGCCACTCCCTGCTTCTGGAGGCTTCCTTATAACCTTTGCCCTCACGGTCTTGCCAGATGCTCTATTCTCAGACCAGAGTTATAAAATGAGAGAGTGCATAAAAATTACCATGGGTGCTTTTGCAAAATGCACATCCCTCCAGGGCCGGTGTGGCTCAGTGGTTGAGCGTCGACCCATGCACCAAGAGGTCGCCAGTTCGATTCCCAGTCAGGGCACATGCCCAGGTTGTGGGCCCGATCCTGGGGCGGGGGTGGGGGGGCATGCAGGAGGTGGCCAGTCAGTGTTCTCTCTCATTGATGTTTCTATTTCCCTCTCCCTTCCTCTCTAAAATCAATAAAGAAAAAAAAAAAGATTTTTAAAGAAAGAAAATGCTCATCTCTGGGTGCTATTGCCAGATTCTTAGGGCTAGAGTGGGACTCTGCCTTCAGAGCTGATGACTGCACTTCACACACACCTGTCCTCTGGACCTCCTCCTGGAGCCACCAAAAATGTGTCCTGTGGCCGTGCACAGTGGCCGCATACAATACTGGCTTGAATTCATGTCTCTCCGGTAATATATTAGCCCTTGATTACACAACACAATGGTATTATCAGGAAATAAACGAAGGACACTCTGCGCTTGAATGACGTTTTGAAAGTGGGGTCTGTGTGAAAAGGGGGCTGGTTGGCAATCAGAGCAGAGGGAGTCCTGAGTAGGTCACATCATATCAATGACCGCTCTCACCCCAGATTCCGCTCTCCTCCATTAAATGCACTTCAGTGAGGGTCTTTCCTCCCGGACTTTGAAATGATCTTTTAGAACAGTGGTCCTGAGACTTCCGGTCAAGACGGAGGGTAGGTAAACGCGGTATCACGTCCTCCCACAACCACATCAAAGTTACAACTAAACTACAGAACAACCATCATCCAAAACTGCCTGAAATCAAGCTCAAAGAAAGTCCTACAACTACGGAATTAAAGCAGCAGCCACATCCAGACTGGTAGGAGGGGCGGTGGCGAGATGGGCTGTTCCCACACCCACGTGTGGCGGATAAAAATCAGGAGGCTCCCGCAGCTGGGAAGGTCCTCCCTGAGGATGGAGGGGTCCCCGTCCCACACCAGGTGCCCCGCTCAGGGTTCCAGTGCCAGGAAGAAAAGTCCCCATAACTTCTGGCTGGAAAAACCAGCAGGAACTGAGGCTCAGGGAGCTGATGCGGCTGGAGCCCCAGGCAGCTCCTTAAAGGGCCCGTGCACGGACTTATTGGACTCTCTCCCTCTAAGCTTGGAGGGGAGGCAGCTCGAGGGGCGCCAGAGACACACAGGGAAGAACTGAGCTGTTTGGCACTGGAGCGAGGGCTGGAGAGGGGGCTTTCTCCTGGACAAACATGCTGTCAGAGGCCTTTGTTCCTTTGGTGAGCCCTTCCTGGGGGCGGCAGATAGTCGCCATGTCTGGGACTCCAGCAACCTGGCTCACACTGGTAGCCCCGCCCCACCCAACTTTCAAGCCCACCCAAGCTGTTGCCACTTGCTTAACCATAGGATTGGACGGTCTTGGATCCTGCTTCAGGTTTTTCCTAAATTCTTTCAAACGAGCAGCATTTGGTCTCAGCGAACCCCATACCTCTCATTAAGTAATACACTAAAACAAACACAGGGAGGCAGCCAAAATGAGGAGACAAAGAAACAGGTCCCAAATGAAAGAACAGAACAAAACCCCAAGAAAAGAACTAAGCGAAATGGAGATAAGCAACCTAACAGATACTGAGTTCAAAATACTGCTTATAAAGATGCTCAATGAACTTAGTGAGAACCTCAGTGAACTTAGGGAGGGCCTCAAGAGCATAAAAAAGGACCAGTTTGAAATCATGGATACACAGTTAGAATTGAAGAAGGCATTAATTGAAATAAAGAATAATTTACACAGCTTCAATAATAGAGTATGTAAATCCAAAGAGCAAACCATCGATTTGGAACATAAGGCAGCAAAAAATGCCCAATCAGAACAGCAAAAAGAAAAAAGAATCCAAAAAAAATGAGGATAGTGTAAGGAGCCGCTGGGACAACTTCAAGCGTGCCAACATTCGCATCTTGGGGGTGCCAGAAGGAGAAGAGAGAGAACAAGAAATCGAAAACCTGTTTGAAACAATAATGGCAGAAAACTTTCCTAACTTGGTGAAGGAAATAGACATACAAGTCCAGGAAGCACAGAGAGTCCCAAACAAGATGAACCCCAAGAGGCCCACACCAAGACACATCCTCATCAAAATGCAAAAGGTTCAAGACAAAGAGAGAATCTTAAAAGCAGCAAGAGAAAGGCAGCTAGTTACCTACAAGGGAGTTTCATTAGGCTGTCAGCTGATTTCTCAAAAGAAACTTTGCAGGCCAGAAGGGAGTGGCAAGAAATATTCAGAGTGATGAAAACCAAGAACCTACAACCAAAATTACTCTATCCTGCAAAGCTGTCATTTAGAATCGATGGACATATAAAAACTTTCCCAGACAAGAAAATGTTAAAGGAGTTCATCACTACCAAACCGTTATTATATGAAATGATGAAGGGTCTTTTTGAAGAAAAAGATAAAATGTATGAACAAACAAAATGGCAATGAATACATATCTATCAACAATGGAATCTACAAACACAATGAACAGGTAGTACAGAAACATTCTCATAGATACAGAGAACATTTGATTGGTTGCCAGTTGGGAGGGGGGTTAGGAGAATGGGTGAAAAAGGTGAAGGGATTAAGAAGCACAAATTCATTGCTAGACTGACAAACCTCAAAGGGAAAGGGGTTGGGGGGGTGGGAAGAAATAAACCAAAGAACTTATATGCATAACCAATGGACACAGACAATAGCGTGGGAAAAGGTGGGAGGGGGGCGGGAGTGGGGAGGAGGGGGTCAATGGGGGAAAAAATGTGGAGCATCTGTAATACATTTTACATCCAACAATAAAGATTTGGAAAAAAAAAAAAAAACAGCGGTCCTTAGAGAGTGGTCGCAGACTAGCAATGCTGAGGAAGTTGTTAAAAATGCAAATCCTCCAGCCCCTTCCCAGACCGACTGACTTAGGGTGGCACCCAGCAGTCTGTAAACTTCGAAGGTGGTTCTGATACATGTTCAGGTTTGAGAATCACTAGTGTAAAAAGAACAAAATCATTATTCTTGCAAGCAAATGTCTAACTTATAACAACATATAAATACATGTATAGTGTTTAGAACTGTCTGTTCCCAAAATAATACACATTAGATGTAGCGCGCGCGCACGCACACACACACACACATACATTTTGGAAGTACAGACAAAAACTCATTACAGGCGTTCCATGAAGCGGAACTGGGAGCGGGAGGTGAACAGAGAATTTCACTTTTCATATTACATCTTTCTGAACTGTTTGGTATATTTTCTTTAAATATATGCATTTATTATTTTTATTTAAAAATTTTAATTTAATAGCAATTATAAAAGAATTAAGTAACAATTAAAAGAAAATACAGATAAATATTAACCTAATTTTTGAGAGGGGGGAACCATGAAAAGAAAGAAGTCACAAAGGAAGAAAAGGGTAGATTTATTTCTTAAGCTTTTGTAAGTCAATATATTATTGATAAAAATAATAAATACATGTAAAAGCAAAGTGACTAAGAAAATGGGTAGTCCCTTTGGCATGACTAAGCAAGGAAAAAGGGAGATCACAAATTACTAACAGAAATGAAAAAAATGGACATCGGTATATATCTTAAAAGCTAGAAAGATAAAAAAGAGGATAATGATATTTTTCTGGCAAATAATTTAGAATTTTAGATGAGGTATACAAATTGCTAGAAAACATAATTTACTAAAGCTCATTAAAAAAGAATTAGAAAATCTGAAAAGTCCTATATCTATTGAAGAAATTGAATCTATAATTAAAAACCTTCCCACAAGGAAAACTATAGGACAATATAACATCACCAGCGAATTTTACCAACCATTTAATAAAGAAATATCTATTACTGACAAGGGATTAAAATGCTTATTAAATAGCTTTCTTTTCTTTCTTTCTTTTTTATCCTCACCCGAGGACATTTTTCCATTTTTTGTTTAGATAGAGTGGGAGGGAGGGAGAGAGAGAGAGAGAGAAAGACAGAGAGAGAGAGAGAGAGAGAAATATCAATGTGAAAGGGACACATGGAGTGGTTGCTACCCACATGACCCAACCAGGGCCGGGGACAAACTGCAACCGAGGTATGTGCCCTTAGCAGGAACCGAACCCGGGTCTCTCTGGACCACAGGCCGATGCTCTAACCTCTGAGCCAAACCGGCCCGGGCTAAATAACTTTCTTAAAAGTCAATTAAAAATATCTCATTAAAAACAAAAATACACAAATAGGCAATTTACAGAGAAAAGGGAAAAGAAACTTAAATTACCAATAAATGTATTAAAATGTTCATTCTTACTAGTAATTATACTTACAAAGAGTTTTGTTTTCTTCTTTTGCTTCTTGAAGGTGGTACAAATTCATAGTTGCTCTGAATTTTGTGGAGGGTGATTTGGCAATATATAAAAAAATAAATACAGACAAAAGAGGAAAGTTTATTTATAAGAATATCTATCTCTGCATTGTTAGTAGTAAAATATATTTTTGGGAATTCTAAATGTTCAATGATGGGTTAAATAAAATAAACTATGACATATCTATAGAATGGCATACCATGCAGCCATTAGAAGTATGTCAAAAAATAGTAACATGGAAAATGTTTGTGGAAAAGAGTGAAAAAAGTA